ACCGTATATATAGACTGTCATATTTTTTCATCTCTATGGAAAAGCCTCAGATGCAGCAGGAACTAGAATTCATTTCTTAATCAATATGGAGGCCACTTCTTCTGACAAACTTCCATGGACCCACTTTGTGGCCTTTGATCCTTCCCATTGGAGTTGGTGGGTGACCCCTGCATAGTTAAGACACCCTACACCCTCTCTAGAATGCTCCTTAAAAAAAGTGCATCTTTTACACATTCATTCTTAGTATTACTGAAATGCCTATCACACTATTAGGGAGTGTGATACTCAGTACCCACTCAGTACAGGCTCAACACATACAAGCTCTTTCTGACTCTTTACTCAGGCACACCGCTAGATCTCTTATATTTCACAAAATAAAAAAAAATCCCCCTGGGGCTTTTTCTCTCTCCCTGGATAGTCACTGTGCACAGCTTCTACAAAACGTTTTCTCAAAATTTCCAACTTTCCCAGGCATCTCTTCCCCCAAGCTAGAAGTCTATGGCCACCAGTCTACTCTGACCCTGTGACTTCCCTTGTGACATGCCCATACTGGTAGTCAGAGGCCTGACAACAGTTACTGGTTACTGCAAAACCTCATCGTTATCAACAAAGGCTTTGGTCTCTGCACACTGTTGAACCAAATCCCTACACTTTCTTAGGACAAATTCCCACAAGGAATTTTTTTCTTCCCAGCTAGCTCCCCTTTTGTTTTGTTTTGATGAGCCAATGAGCTTAGTCAAGGTTGCTTATGGGAGCAAGGGTGAAAGGTTATTTACAGGAACATGGGCAACTTAGTAATTTCCTGTACTAGCTATATAAAAGCCTTCCCCACTGAGACTAAAATGACTGTAGAGAGTACAACAGCCTTGAAAATGTAATCTCTCACTTTAGTCTCCCTTTTTCTCTATAGTTAGATAATAAATAGTTTAGCTTTCACCTGAAACACACACACACACACACACACACACACTCGGGATTAGTAAGACCCTTCAAATAAAGTCCTACTTGAATGCTTTGTGATACACATAACCATAAGAAAGGCAGAGAGTTAGAGATGGTTCAGACATTAAAGAGGCTCCTTAATAATTTAATACAAGAAACTCAACAGTCCTGGCTAATTCTCCTCCCTGTGGCATTCCTAAGGTCTCCTATCACTCCTGAACAGAGACACATCTCAAGCACATTTAAAGTCCTAATGTAGAAGAGGCCATTCCTTCAGATAGATGTTCATTAGGCCCTGAGATGCATTATCTTGCCCAGTATGTTACATCTCAGAAACCAACCACCAAGCCATTAATGATCATCAAGATAATTAAAACCCTAAACCATACTCTTTCCCATCAAGTGAAAATAGTCTATCAAAATTAACCTTGACAGAAGACCACAGAGTTGCTCTCTCTAAAGTCAGTTTCCTTCTGGCATCAAATACTGAGCAATCAGAACTGTTATTCTTGTAGATGGTAGGAACAGAATGATGGGAATTGTATAATGGTTCATCCTAGCCAAAGAAGATAGTAGGCTGGTGAGGTGGCTCAGTGAGTAAAAGAATTTTCCTTCAAACCTGGTGACTGAGTTTCATCCCCGGAACCTACATGGTAGAAGGAGAGACTGACACCCCATGAGCTGTCCTCTGACCTCCACACATATAGGTATATTACCCCACCCATGCACAAAGAAATAAATATAATTTTAATTTTTTTAAAAGAAAGAGGGTAACTGCAGACAGTTCTTTTTTTGTCTCCCCCCCTTGTGTTCAATAAACTTTTTTTTCTACTTTGATTTAGTTGTGAATTCTTTCACCAACCCTGTACCTACCATTTCTCTTGTATTCCCACTCTATAAGAAGAAGAGTTCAGACTTCCCAGGAGGTTCCAGCAGCCCAGCTGGAAGGGTGACCCACACAGATGCAATCTCAGACGAGGCCACAGTGAGAAGATCCCCCAAAGATCTATTTCCAAGCCCAGATGATGGGATTCTTTTTTCTTTTCTTCTTTGGCTCTTTAAGACAGTCTCACTCTGTAGATAGACTGTCTAAAAATGGGGTTGTTCTGCCTCTGTCTCACCAGAACTGGGGTAACAGGAAACTTACAGACATGGACTACTGTCCCCCTCCCCTTAACTAGCAGGGTTCAGCCCAGGTGAGTCCCCAGGGTCACTCTATGACTGTGAGCAAGGCAAGGGTCTGAACAACCACTTTGTTCTGAGTGTGAGTTTGATTTTACAGACCGAGAACTCTCTTTTCCACACACACACACACACACACACACACACACACACACACACACACACACACAAGCCCAAGCAAAGATTTTGTTTTTAAATAAAGAAGAAAGAAACAAAAAGACTGGATGCAACAAGCCTGAGCCATGGCAGGGCAACATTGCTGGATTTCCCCTGCCTAGGGGCCCTTTCCAAAGTGGCAAGTTCCTGGGAGGTCCAGAACCAATACCAAACCTCTCACTAACCCTTTATCGGGAAGTGCCCCCTCTGGAGGTTGGGATTGTGTGTATGTATGTATGTATGTATGTATGTATGTATGTATGTATGTTTTTGCATAAATTTCAGCTGGAGAGGATGGGCTGCAGAGGGAGGGGAAGACTTAAGCTGCTACTATATAGAGCAGTTTCCCTTCTTGGAAATGCAGCCAGAAGTTGACTTTCCCTCCAGGAAAGAAAAAATAAGTCTGTTATGTCTGCTGCTTTCTCTGTCACTTGCTGTCTGACAGCTTTCTGCTTAAGCTCGCTCTCCTTTCTGTATGTCTGTCTGTCTGTCGGTCTGTCTGTCAAACACACACATTAATGGCTCTAGACTCTTTTAAAAACTTTTTTTTTAATGGGAGGGCAGAGACTTTGAGCGAAAACCCTTATCCACCCATTCTAACTAACTTTGACTCGCATACACACACACACACACACACACACACACACACACACACACACACACACACACACACACACACACACCCTCCTTCCCTCCCTCCCTCTCCAGTGACCTCCAGATGTTCTCGACCCAGCGGCCATCTGCTGAGATTACTGGGACGCGCAAAGGGAGAAGGCAGAGGGGGCAGGGATCCGGGTTGCAGGAAGCTGGAAGAGAGGCCTGGTGGAGTGGGAGGGAACCGCGCACTTTTGAGACGCTCCCTAGGGTGGAACCCGTGCTCCGCCGGCGGGCGGGGGCTGGGCTGCTAGAGCGAC